AATGTACCGAGCTGAGAACTGTAATCACGGCACCGGAAATTGGCCGTAGAGTTGGAAGGATGACTGATGCACTTGAAAAAGCAAGGCCAAACAATGATTCCAAGAAGGAATGAAATTTGCTCAAATGTAGTAGCCAAACAGGACGCTGGAAATCATTTGCCGGAGACATCTGCTCCAATGCACCACTCGTGGGACTTTCCGCTTCCTCAGATCTCCATCTTTCTGCTCAACACAAAAAGTGGAGCTTAGGAATGTCAACATAGCTTGGGTTCTCTCTTCTTCTTCCTTCCTCCTTCCAACCTTCTCACAGTCTCATCTCTCAAAAACAAGGAAATACAACAAGGGATGAAGGGACAACATCCAAGGACATGCAGGCACCCCGGATCAAATGCACAGGTATAGTCTAGGGGGTACCTTGCTCAATAGTAGTAACTGTGAGAGGGACCTCGGAGTCCTAGTGGACAATCACTTAAATAGGAGCCAGCTGTGTGCTGCAGCTGCCAAAAAGGCCAACACAGTGCTGGGCTGCATGAACAGAGGGATAGAATCAAGATCACGTGAAGTGTTAATACCACTTTACAACAATCTCAGGGGCTGCCCCAAAGAAGAGGGAGTCAAGCTATTCTCCAAAGTGCCTGAAGGCAGGACAAGAAGCAACGGATGGAAACTAATCAAGGAGGGAAGCAACCTGGAACTAAAGAGAAACTTCCTGACAGAACAATTAACCAGTGGAACAACCTGCCTCCAGAAGCGGTGAATGCTCCAACACTGGAAGTTTTTAAGAAGAGACTGGACAGCCATTTGTCTGAAATGGTCTAGGGCAGTGGTTCTCAACCTTTTTAATGCCGCGACCCCAACCGGTTGTAAGTCGAGGACTAAACCGGTCGTAAGTCGAGGACTAACCCGGTTGTAAGTCGAGGACTAGACCGGTTGTAAGTCGAGGACTACCCAACCGGTCGTAAGTCGAGGACTTTCCCTGCCCGGGAGCGCCGCGCACGCATGGTTCCGCCCCCTGCGCCGGCCAAGGCGTATGTGGGAAGCGGCAGAGACGGAGCAGGCCAACCACCAGCTGACCCAGCCCAAGGGAGGTAAGGCACCCGCCGGAAAAGGGGAAAAAAATGGCGGACAAAAAAAATGGCGGACAAAAAAAATGGTGGACAGCCTTGCTTGGCGACCCCCGTGAAATGGTCGATCAACCCCAAATGGGGTCCCGGCCCACAGGTTGAGAACCACTGGTCTAGGGTTTCCTGCCTGAGCAGGAGGTTGGACTAGATGACCTCCAAGGTCCCTTCCAACTTCTTCTTCTTCTTCTTCTTCTTCTTCTTCTTCTTCTTCTTCTTCTTCTTCTTCTTCTTCTTCTTCTTCTTCTTCTTCTTCTTCTTCTTCTTCTTCTTCTCCTTCTCCTTCTCCTTCTCCTCCTCCTCCTCCTCCTCCTCCTCCTCATCATCATCATCATCATGGCCAGTGTCTTTCTGTTGCAGCATCTGGATAGCTGGAAAGACTCATTGGAGAGTTTATCCAATATGATTAGTTTGGAGTCTTTATATATATGGTAGGAAGAAAAATTCTGACACGGATTATTCTCAAAGGTACCAAATTATGGGCGGATCTATAAGATAATTCACAGTACAGAGCAATCCTTTTCTTTTTTCTGATACATTCAGCCTACGAGATTCGGGACAAAGAAATTATCTGCAGACAATTAAAGGAACTGCCACCACAAGGAATATTAAAGCTACTAGGAGGTGATCCCTGATCTCCCTTCCTTCCGCCGCGCCCTTAAGACATGGTTATTCCAGCTTGCGGGACTGGCCTAGGGGAAAACTTTTAGAGGGGGTTTTAATTATAATTTTAATTAGACCAATTATTAATATTTCCCTTTTAATTAACTTTTAAATTTGTAGTTTGATATTTTTGTATTTTTTATCCGGTTGTTAGCCGCCCTGAGTCCGCAAGGAGAAGGGCGGGATATAAATTTAAAAAATAAATAAAATAAATAAATGCCGTTTCGAGAAATATGTGGAGGTGAGGATGAGACTCAGTGAAGTCCTGACTTGATCTTCTTCCTTGCCAGCTTCGTCCTTTGGCTGCTATTGCTGGCTGGATTGGAGAAAGGCACAATGCAACGAGGAGACTGTCTCCTACTGTTTATTGTCGTGAGCAACAACATTGTATGGTTGATGGTTTCAGCTACGCTACATTCAGACCAAGCTGCTAATTCAACTGCTAGTTCCTTCTCTCGGGTAACTTTTTATGCAGTAAAACTGCACATCCAGTACGTAAAACAACGCAGCTGAAAACTCCTACAGTTAAGCTGGAAAATGCAACAGGTCCAAGCTCAAGAAGGGGGGAAAAAAATCAATTGAGACAACT